AGTTAAGACGTTGAATTTAGGAGGGAGAAAGGAAAGAGGAACTGAGAAAAATAAAGGGAAAAGCGAGAATAGGAGGAAGAGGAGAGGGAGGAGAGAGATAAAGTAAATTAAAGAGAAGTAAAGAGAATAAGGAGGGAGATATAAGAAAGGAGAGGCGGGAGAGGAGAGAACAAGAATACCAAGAGAGAAGAAAGGAAGAAGAAGGACGGATGAAGCAAGAGAGGAGAAGGAGAGAGCAGAAAAAAAAGGGGAAAAAGAGGAGCGAGAAAGGGAGACGAGATAAAGGTATCACCAGAGATGGATAGAGAAGGGATGAGAGAGAGAGAGGAGAGAGAGAGAGAGAGAGGAGAGAGAGAGAGAGAGAGAGAGAGAGAGAGAGAGAGACGAGAGAGAGAGAGAGAGAGAGAGAAGAGAGAGAGAGAGAGAGAGAGAGGAGAGAAGAGAGGAAGGAGAGGAGAGAGAGAGAGAGAGAGAGAGAGAGAGAGAGAGAGAGAGAGGAGAGAGAGAGAGAGAGAGAGAGAGAGAGAGAGAGAGAGAGAGAGAGAGGAGAGGAGAGAAGAAGGAAGAGAGAGAGAGAGAGAGAGAGAGAGAGAGAGAGAGAGAGAGAGAGAAGCAGAGAGAGAGAGAGAAGAGAGAGAGAAGAGAGGAGAGAGAGAGAGAGAGGAGAGAGAGAGAGAGAGAGAGAGAGAGAGAGAGAGAGAGAGAGAGAGAGAGAGAAAGAAAGAAAGAAGAAGGAGAGAGAGAGCATAGAGAGAGAGAGAGAAGAGCGAGCGAGCGAGCGACCGAGCGAGAGAGAGAAAAGCAGACAAAGAGATGGAGGAGACAACGAAGGAGGGGGGAGACGAGGAGGAAGAGAAGGGAACTTTCAAGGACGGTCTCGAGTAATACTAGAATTAGTTTGAACCTTAGGCGGTTCTCGGTTCACTCGCGAGATACTGTGCCTGAGTGAGAGGAACCAGGGGACCCCTTTTAGCAAAATCGAATTACGTGAATTATTCCCGTATTCTACTTATTCTCGTATTTATCTTATTGTTTCTTTCTTCGTCCTGTTCTTTTTTCAGCCTGGATATGAGTTTTTATCGTTTTTTTTTTATTATGATATCAGGTTTTTTTATCATTATTTACGTAGGAAGTTTTATCATCATTATCCCCAATCAAACATTATTATATATCATTTTAGACAATCATCCTTCCTTTATATTTTAAAACTCCCTAACTAAATAAATAATAATAATAATAAATAATAATAATAATAATAATAATAATAATAATAATAATAATAAATAGTAATAATAATAATGATAATAATAATAATATAATAATAATAATAATAATAATATAATAATAATAAATGATTGATGAATAATGATGATGATGATAATGATAATAAATATAATAATAATAGTGATAATAATAATAATAAGACACACCAAGATGAATAACTTCAAAATAAGACATGACAAAAAATAACACTTGAGAAATTTGCAAGAAAACGCACATTGAAGCCAAGTAGCAATATGTTCATAACCCCAAGCTATTGTATAACGAATTTTGTAGTCCATGTCTGCGAGCTAAATCTGGTTCCCTGTTCTTTTGAAGTGGAATATTCGCCTCAAGGAAGAGAGAGGAAAGCAAGCACTGTGTTGGTCGAAAGATTTTTTTTTTTTTTTTAATTCTTCTTATTCTTTTTTATCATGTTTTTTTTTATTATGCTTTTTTTCATTCTTCCCTTTTCTTGGCGTATGTTATATTCTTATTTCGTATATTCTGTAATTCTTATTTATATTCTGTTATATTCTTATTTCGCATATTCTGTTATATTCTTATTTCGCATATTCTGTTATATTCTTATTTCGCATATTCTGTTATGTTCTTATTTCGCATATTCTGTTATATTCTTATTTCGCATATTCTATATACTCCTCTATTTCGCATATTCTGTTATATTCTTATTTTATTCCTTATTTCGCATATTCTGTTATATTCTTATTTCGCCTCTTCTGTTATATTCTTTCTCGCATATTCCTGTTATATTTCTCGCATATTCTATTCTTATTTATATTCCTGTTATATTCTTATTCGCATATTCTGTTATATCTTATTTCGCATATTCTGTTATATTCTTATTTCGCATATTCTGTTATATTCTTATTTCGCATATTCTGTTATATTCTTATTTTCGCATATTCTGTTAATTCTTATTAGCATATTCTGTTATATTCCTTATTTCGATAAAGATAATAATGTTATAACTTTTACTGGTCTTTTATCATTAATGATCATTCTGAACGAGAAATATTTACAGCTAGAGTGACAGAGACGATAATATTATAGTCAATGAAAAATCAGGATAGATAACGATAGAGTAATAATAAAGGTTGAATGATGATAATCATCAGACACACTGATTTCATAATAAAAAAAAGAATAAGGTTTTACCAACAGGTTAAAAAAAAAATTCACAGCAATAATAATTGCAATGGTTAGCACTCGATTACTTAAAACTATCCAAATTATAAATAATTTTCACAACAACAAAATTTAAAAATACAATATAAAAAACCACAATTGGATAACAAATAAATTAACAAATTTAAACCATAAACAAAAAATTCAAAAACAACAAAAAAACAATAAAAATTA